GATTTAAATACAAATTTAATTACCAGCTCTACAAGGTAACTGATAGAAAAGTGAGGGAATTGATTAGGAAGAAATGGGAAAATTCTGATGGTAACAAGATCACTGAACTTGAACATCTATTCTGGATCTTCTTTAGTAGTTGAAGTTTTTGTTCTAACCACCAGAGGGAATTAGTGCTGATTTATCTGAGGGGACTACAGAGGCTTTTTCTTAGGCAATTCCCTTGTAAGACACTGCTGATGTACCTCTAGGCATCCCTATTATTGTTTTTTGTTTCTGTGCATAGAATTAGACTCATGTCTCAGAAGACCCGAGAAGGTTTATATATTTGTACAAAATTATTTATTTTTATATTTATATAAATTATTTATTTTTAAAATAATAAATAAATAAATTATAATTATTAATTAAAATCATCAATTTATAATTATTATAAATTATATAAAATTAACATCATTAATTATTGATATCATTAATTATAATAATTAATATAATTGTTTTAAATATTAATTTATAATTATCATTAATAATTTATTAATAAATAATTAAAATTATTTTTATATTTATAAATTATATTTGTATTAAAATTATTATATTGAAACACAGTCCTGATGTGGTGGTATTAGCAGGGAGAACCTTCAAAAGGTGATTAAGCCATGAAATTAAAGTCCTGATGAGTGGTATTAATGCTCTTATAAATTGGATCTAGAGTTACTTTGCCCCTGCCATGGCATAGATACCGTGAATATACACCATTGTGTGAGTCTGGAAACAATTCCTTACCAGACAACAAATTTACAGTAGCACTCAATTTGGAGTATGAAGACTCTGGAACTGTAAGAAATAATTTGAGTTATTATATGTCAGCCAGTCTAAGACATTTAGTTACGTCGGTCCATGTAAAGTTAGAGAGGAAAACATGTGATCATAAGGAAGATCATGAGGATCATGTTGCACTAAAAAAAGTCTCAAATTTTATGGACAAAAATAGAAATATGTCTAGGAATGAATATTAAAAATGTGAGGTATTATTGGAAAGAGAATAAAATTTATTGGTATGAGACCACCAAGAAGATATTCTAAATTTAATGTTGGATCTTTTAGAGAGGGAATTAGAGAAACTTTGAACAGCTTTCTGAGTTTGTTAGAGGAAACATGGACGAAAAAGGATATCCACTGCATGAGTTGAAATGCCATTGTCTTCAAATATGGTAGAAGAAGGGATCCAAAAGTCTAAGGAGATTGGAATGTTAAATGGGACTTATATGTAAGACCCCTTCACTTTCCATCTCAGGAAGGTCTAAAGAACATACTTCTTGACATAACTATATGAAATAAATCTGTGAGAAGTGCGGAATTACTGAAAAGTTCTGTAATCTCTGTTGCTTGTAGGTCAGAAATTATATTAGCAATTGCCATCACCGGATTGGGAGCATAATGCAACAAAATATTTTATCTTCAGGTGGCAATAGTTAAGTGCAATTCTTAATTACAATAGATAAAGTGGATGTTATTATTATCATGAATAGTAGGAACAACGCAATAGTCAGAATAGTGTTATTCAGAGAGATACTGGCATGATCATGGTGTTACTAGAGGTGAAATAGATTTGGATTTTACAAAATTTTTCTCTGCTATGTGTATACAGTGGTTCGAGTGAATAAAAGTCTAACCTGAATTGTAGAAACAGTGTCAATGGTCCCTTAATCAATTTTGCAATCAACTGCTTCACAGAGTTAGAATCTTTCAAGTGGAAGAAATTTTGGATATTCCTGAGTAAAGGTCTGGTCACATTGCCAGAACTTCATACTGTTAATAACTTTCTCAGTATTCCTCCATCAATAGCTTTTGATCAATGTGACTATATATCTAGGAAAAAACAATCAGGGTTTTCAGATATTATTGCATACTATTTTCAGATATTATTGGATCCTGTTCCTAAAGACTGAAAATACCAGGATAGTCTACTACACAGAGTAGGGGCATATGGAAGTCATGCTTTAGCTCATATCAATTTCACTGTGGATCCACTGGATCTCCAAATCCATTCTGTGGTTAATCACCGTGTCTCAGAATTCATAGTTGGAATAGACATAGTTCATAACTGGTAAAAACCACACACTGACTTCTTGATCTTCAACACAGGAACTTTTGTGGTAGGAAAGCCCAAATAAGGCAACTGGAACTGAACAGTAGGTCAGAAGCAATATTGCAATTTAGTACCATCATCAAGAACTTGAGAGATGTATTATTGGTGGTTCTCACTGTATCCCCCTCATTCGTCTGTTCATGCAGAAAACAGATCTTGAATGACACTGGATTATTTTGTTTCACAAAGCACTGATTCAAGCTGCTGCTGCTACACCAGACATGGTTTCTTACTTGACAAATAAACAAATATTCTTTCAAATGATGTAATGTTATTAATTTGGCAAACTGTTTATCTCTGTCTTTCTTTGTAAGGACCACTAGAAGCAGTTTGCTTTTAGTTGTAATGCCAATAATAAACACATCTTCATTGACCCACCTCAAGGATATACCTACCCCTCATCCAGATTTGGGTCATAATTTAGTTCTTAGGGGCTTGATGAACATTACTTCCACAAGAGATCATACTGGTCAATTAATTGATGATATTAGTCTTTAAACTACTAAACAAATGTGGATTCAGGGAGGAGAACAAACCCAATTTGCTCTTCCTATGAGTCGGCAGAAGCCATGGTGGGTCTGACAAGGAGTAACAAGAAGAATGTAAAGCCAATTTACCAGACTAAGGTGATAGCATCTAAGGTACCAAAACAACTTAATGCCTCCATTGTTTGATTGACTTTGCAGGCAAGTGGTCTGGGGATCTATTGAAAGGATAACAGTGCGCAGTGTAGCAATTATGGGAAATTTCTTTCTGCTTTGGTTTTAAAGCCAATATTGTTCTTATCCAATATTATTTTATTCTGTTTTACTGTTTTGTTTTATTCAATGTTCTTTTTTGATTGGATTCGTTCTGTTTTGTTTGATTTTGTTATGTCTGATGGTATGGGTGACAATTTTAAAGATAACAAGAGGCATTATGGAAGCCATTATTGATATTCTGTTGTTATGTCCTGTTGAAGTCTTTATTACTTTTACTGTTTTGTTTTGATTGGCTTTATTCTGTTTTATTTTGTTTTGTTTTATTATCTTTAAAATATGCTTTCATTCTTTTGTTTTGATTAATTTTATTCTGTTTAGTTTTGTTTGATTTTATTATGTCTGGTGGTATGGATAGATATTTTAAGGAAAATAGGAGCACTATGGTAGCCAATGCTGATTTCCTGTTATTTTTGTTTTGAAGTCCTGTATTGTAATCATTGTTCTGTTCTGGTTAGGTTTATTCTGTTTTGTTTGATTTTATTCTCTTTAAAATAACTAAAAAATAAACTTGTAAAACTTGTGTTTCTTATTTCTACCACACTATGTTGTAGTAGTCTAGAAATCTTAGCTCCAATGCACTGAGTGCTTTCACCAGGAAGTACAATGACTCTGATGGAAGTTAAAACTGGTGTGAGTCGTTTTGGCTTCTTATACTTGTATATCAACAAAAAAGGTAAATATGTTTTTCTGGGCAATATATCCTTGTGACTGTTAATTGTGATTGTCAGCTTGACTGGATTAAGAAGTGCCTAGAAGATAAGTTAAGCCCACTTCTAGATATCTCTGTGGGATGACTGGCAGGTAGGCCAGCAAATTAAGGCATGAAGACTTACTCTGATTTTGAGTGGTACCATCCAAGATACTTGTGACTCAGATGGAGGGAAAGGGAGAAAGTGGAAGTTGATTTTCATTTTGAAACACCTCATTCTTCTTGAAAGGAGGTAACTTTTGTTAATGCCATTACCTGTGAACATCAGACTCCAGCTTCTTCTTTCAGTGTGGACTCATCCAAGTAGTTTCCAGGTCAGTCTATGTCAATCTGATGCTGCCTCCTTGATCCCTCTTGTGAGGGATCTGAGGCTTCCAGCTTCTCAGATTGAGAAATACCCTGATCCTCTGGCTCTCCATCACACAAATGACTATTGTGAAGCAGCCTGCCTCTGCTCTGGTAAGCTTAGCTAATGAATTCCATCAGAGTACCCTGACCAATGAAATCCTGATTACCAAGGGAAAAATTCAACTGCCACTCTCAATGGTGATTAAAGGACATGTGTGGAATACAGAAGGCCTTTTGGGATATTACCTTTCCTGGTGGCTAATATCATCAGATATCTAAAAGTCCAGTAAAGTAGGACATATAGTAGCCCAAACCATTCTGAAAAAAGATGTGATCCATGCTACCAGATAAAGGATAAAAACCAGGTGAGGTGCCCCTTAAGGGCAAATGAAATACAAAACAGCCAGACAGTAGGTACAGGTAGATGGAGAAGTATTAGCTGTGATCACATGACCAGTTACAGAAATGAGAATTTTAATTGAGATGTATGTATTTATTTTATTGTACCTACATTTGTCTATGCATTTGTGCATACATAGATAACAAATTTTCTTTTCTTCCATTTCTTCCTATTATCATATAAAATTATTAAACTTACAACATAATATTATGATGTCAAATCATGGAATATCAGCAAAAGGGAATATAACCTGAGGGGGTTGGTCTTGTTTGTTGTACTAAGAGGAGTTTTGTTATGTTAAATAAAAGAATGATCATTTTTTTTGATACCAGGGATCGAACTCATGACCTCGCATTTGCCAGGCAAGTGCTTGTACCGTTGAGCTAAATCTCTGGCCCCAATCATAAGATTTTTATTTTTAGTTTAAGTATGGTTTGGATATGTGTATCATTTCCAAGATGAGAAAAGTTAGGCACTGATAATAAATTTTTATATTAACTTGGCTTAGATAAAATGTTTGGTTTTTTGTCAAACATAAATGTAGATATTGCTATGTAGATTTTTTAAACTGTAGCTAGCATTTAAATCTGTTTACCTTGAGTAATATAGACTACTTTTTATTGTAACTGACAGGACCTCATCCAGTCCATGGAAAACGTCAAGAGAAAAAGACTGAGTCCCTTGAAAATGGAAAAATTCTTACTTTGGGTTCACTTACAACTCAAGACTACTGCACCCACACTCTGCTCAGTTTCCTTGCTGCTGGCCTGCCTGGCAGAATTTGGATTGTCAGCCCCCATGTTCTTGTGAGCCAATTTATTAAGATAAATTTCTCCATATAAGTACATATTGTTGATTTTCTTTCTTGGGAAAATACTGACACAATCAGCAATGTTGGCCAGGGTAAAGAATTTAATATTTTATCTAAATTCTTCAGAAATGTTTGCATTTCTTCTTTTGTTATTATGGTTTTGCATTTTATATTACATATTTTTCAAATATAATGCAATCAAACATACCATTGTTAATTTTAAAGATAAAGAGCACTTAAATGGCTAATTGAATTTCTGGAATGACACAAATATCGAATATCAAGTTCAGGATTAAATGCATGTTTTGGGTTACAGCTATCATGGTGGCTTTCCATGTGTCAATATTCACTTGCAACTATTGTTTCTGACTTGGACAAGATTATTAGTTGTCAATAAAAATAGGCATTAGAATTGTACTTAACGGGTTGCTTGAAAATTGATTGAGATGTATATACTAAACATTTTAGACAGTGCTTTACTGCATCGTAGTTAATAAGTGAAATTGAAACTTCTTATTTAAATTGTAATTGTTTTTGTATGATACTCCTGAATTTTATAAATACTATCTTACTAAAAATTAAATTGATTTTTTTGATAAAACTTATGGCTTTTAAACTTCTTTTACAGAAGAATTTTAAATAACTAAGATTGAGAATTTTTTATAATAAAACTTAAAGAGACTATTGTTAAATCCAGTTATATTCACAGAATCAGGAAGCCATTGTCTAGGGTATCTGGGTTAGGTGAATAGACTCACATAGAATTGTGTGCCAAGTATGAATTCATGTTCCAAAATGGTAAAGAATTACATTGGAGTAATAAAAACAGGTTTGATACTAACATTTAGAAAGCACTTGGAAAAGTTCTCGTCTGTAACTTCCCCAAAAGACCACTTTGGAATATGATTGATTGGCATTAGGCAAACATTTTTCATTGTGTCAAAGTTTTGTTATGGTCTTTTTAGCTTCAGTATTAGGGGAAAAATTCAAAGTATGCACTTGTATACTATTCCCAAAGGTAATAACAAGGAGATTAAATACAATCAGTTTTCTAGAGTCAGTCACAGCCATAAATATGCTATAGAACATATGTTGGAACAGCCTCTAAGGTTTCAGGGAATGAAGAATGACCTAAGAAGTTTGTAGTTGTTTTACTCCAAAATTTTTTTTCTAGTAAAAACCAAAAAGCATTTGGAGGATGCCAAATATTGTAGACTGAGATTCAGTAGACACCAATATCACAGATATTTTGATTGCTGAAATATAGTTCAGAAATTGCCATACATATGTGCCATACACATTTAAAATCAGAGTTTCAAAAGACAGCAGAATAATGCTTCAAATAGTTTGAACATTTCTGATCGATGTTTCATTTAAAACTTTTGCTATATATTATTATGGTCACTAGTTTTCTGTATAGAATGTAACTCTTTCCATATATTTGAATTCTAACAATATTTCACTTTTTTATAGAAAGATTGAACCTATCAGTAGCATTTGATATGTTTAATCTCTCTCTTCCTTATGTATCTTTTAAAATTTTATTTGGAGAACCTCATATTTGATTGACTTTCTGGAAAGAAAATTAAAAAACTTATTGATTACTCATTCTCACTTGTTTTCATTGGTTGCTTCTCTTTTACTTGACAATTCTTGAACAACCCAATCCCAGTGAATAAGATCCATTCCTGAAGTTCTGTGAGACCAATGAAAGAGAAGCAGACAGATCTAGTAATGCACAGTACAATGTATAAGTGAACTTAATAATAGAATCATTGTCCTCTGTGACAACAAAGCCAAGTGAATCCCCACAATTTGGGTGTCTTCATGACTTTTCTTATTGCTAAGACTTTGATACCCAAAGTTAAGGGAAGAATGGCTTATTTCAATTTACAGTTTGCAGAAGTTTGAGTCCCGCATCAGCTGGCTCCAAGACAGGGTGATATAGCAGACAGGCATTGCAGAAGACAAATGGTGGGCAGAAGCTAGCCAATAAAGCAAGACACAAGTGACAATAGCAACTTCTTTCTGCCCCTTGTATAGTCTATGTAGCCTACTGGTTTTAGGGTAAGTGCTAAACAAATAAGTGAACTTATTTAGTAATCATAAACCTTTCTTTCTAGCATAACACACTCTAGATCCAGCCACTTCTGAAAAATCTCCCGCCTCTGACCACATGAGGCTTTGGGAGGACATCTAGGCAAAAGCCATAACACTGTCAGAAGAAGGGGCACATATACGGAATAGGACAAAAGTAACTGTATTCAAGATAGAAGGTACCTAATTTACTTCAAGCAAATATTAACGAGTCAGGCATATTCCAGTGTCAGTTGTGAAACTCCAGCCTTTGTGTGTGTGTGTGTGTGTGTGTGTGTGTGTGTGTGTGTGACACAGGGTCTTTCTTCTGTAGTTTAGGCTTACCTTGAGTTTACGATGTAGCCCAGGCTGGCCTTGAGCTCATAGTGATTCTTTAGCTTCTGCCTCTTGAGTGCTGGTATTACAGGCATGAGCTACCATGTCTAACTTCCAGTGCCATGCTAATGGTTTTGTTTTACATAGTTACTGTTTCACTTTGCAAGAAAAGCTGACCAGTTATTCTGGGACAGTTATGTTAAAACTCACAGTGGCTGCAGTCATGTCAAGAAGATTCCCCATATTGACCCACCAACAAAGGCATATACCCCAAGCTTGGATTTGGCCTTCATTTTATCTTCTTGTTTTCTTTTTAAGCTGAAAACCAGTTAAATCTAATCCAGTCTTACAGCTTCAAATATTACTGGAACTAATAATGATACTCCTAAACTAAAATCTACCATATCTGATTACTATTTAACATTCTCATTTGATTGCCTAATAAATACAATGCAGTACTTATTCAAACTGTTCCTCCACTTTCCACTTTCTCATGGAAATTTGCTTTACTGCTATTCTTGTTGTTTAATTGGAAAGTGTTGGAGCAATTATTGCTTCCTGTTTTAGTTTCGATCTAATGTGTTCTTTAAAAACTTCATGTGCTTGAAAGGTGACTGCATCATAGGGGCTCCCTAGCTGACTTGTACTTAGGTCGTGGGCCCTGGCTGGCAACAGATCACTGGAAGTTTGACCTGAAAGAACACACCCCTCTTCCTGCCTCCTCTTTTCACTTTCTGCTTCCCGAACACCATGATATTAACAGTGTTTTGCCTATTAAGTCCCAGCACCATGCCTGAAAGCCAGCTGACTATGAATTGAAACCTATCAATCTGCCAGTCAAAACAAATGTCTTCTCTTTTAAGTTCTGGGTGTCAAATATTTGTCCCAGATATGAGAAAGTAAGATATCTCCTTTCTTTATTTCACATTCAAATGTTTCATTTCTGTATCAAATGATACTGTCTTTATGTTTAAAACATATCTGTCTCTTTTAACTCCCTTTCTGATCTGCCATCCTTTCTTGCCTGGATACTGATTTGTACTTGAAAACATAAGTTAGATGATATTGAATCTTTATTTCATTCAAATTAGAAATCCAACTCCAAAAAAACAGTCAGCATGGTCTTTTATGTTTTGCTGTCTTTCTTTCAGTATTTTGCACTCCCTCAGTCACATTTTGCACTCTGGTTTCTGTGATGCAATGTGAACATATTGGACCTGTTTTTGTTTGAATTTTTTTTTGCTCTATGTTTTCTAAAATGTCCTCCTTTCAGACATGCCATAGGCTAATTCTCCTCCTTGTCTAAATTTCACCATTTTAATGATGATTATCATAGTCATTCTGAATCCTGCCTGCCCCTCTTTAATGCCCTCACCCACTACCTTGTCTACTGACTCCACCTTCTCTCCTGTTTTATCATGATTGTTTTCCCTTTGTCTCCATAGAACTACTCACCTTTATTACTTTCTCCAATCAAAATGTAAGCTATTCAGAAGCCACAGTTTGATCACTGATATATTTAAGTACCTAGAATCGTACTTGGTACTTACTTAGTAGATATCTGAACTAGTTTTTGGATGGAAAAGGATAAATGAATATGAGAGGACTAGAAAGGCTATACATTCTGAACAAAATCTCACCTTCTGTTAGGAAAAAAAGACAACAAACCAAACCATCCAGTACAACCAACCAATCAAATACACACACACACACACACACACACACACACACACACACACACACAGCCCAGTAGAGAGTGTAGGTTCAGGGACAGTAGGTTGAATATTTTTTTCTTGCAATCTACATCTGTCAGGTCCAGTTTATTATCTTTAATGAATTTCAGAGTTTTTAGATGCAAATATTTAAAACTTCAGGTTACTTATCAAAGTACAAACTGATGGATAATTTTTTAAGAAAAGAAGACATAATTAGTTACAGCAAAATAGACACAACAAAGAACAAAGTGTCAATGACTGTGACCTGAGGAGCAACCAGAACTCCAGTGCCAAGAGGACTTCAAAGATAACAACTTCAGAGGACCTGAGTCTTAGAACTGGGTATAATGTCTGGTATGATCTGGAAGATTTTTAAAGGATAACATTCTGTCTGAGTTATAACAAGACTTTCTGAAGATTTATGTGTTTTTTGAAGCTTTTGATTTGTATGTTTCCTTCATCTTCCCCTTCATTTGTTGTTATAAATCCCAGCTGTTATTATATGCATTCTGAAGGGATGGTACCCATATATTTTCCTGTTAGAGACTGCTTGGGTAATGGCAATCCATAAAATGTGTTCAGATCTTGGAAACTTTGTAATAGTAGGGGATTCTTTAGAAAACAGGAAAAATTCAAGTCATAGCAATTATTGATAGTGTAATTAAGTGTTAAGAAACATAGTTATATGTTAAAAATCACTACATAACTTTTATTCTTAGTATAATCTGTTTATCTGATGGGAGTGGAATGGGAATTAAAAACAAATGAAAGCACTGAGCAGACATCCAGCTGTAAATCTCTTGGGGCCAGACAGGGAAAAACTCAAACAGGTGAACACTAACATCCAGAAAAAGTTACTGTTGAAATTGTACTATTTCTTTGAAAATTGGATATAATATGTGTCATGAGTCAAGTTTTCAAAGATACCTTTGTGTTAACCTAAGCCAGATTGCTTA